TGCAAAAATCGCAAAAATTCCTGAAAATTGCAAAAATTGCAAAAATTCCTGAAAATTAGAAAAATTTCTGAAAATTGCAAAAATTCCTGAAAATTGCAAATATCGCAAATATTCCTGAAAATTGCGAAAATTGCAGAAATTCCTGAAAATTGCAAAAATTGCAAAAATTCCTGAAAATTGCGAAAATTCCTGGAAATTGCAAAAATTGCAAAAATTCCTGAAAATTGCAAATATCGCAATTATTCCTGAAAATTGCGAAAATCTCAAAAATTCCTGAAAATTGCAAAAATTGCAAAAATTCCTGAAAATTGCAAAAATTCCTGAAAATTGCGAAAATTCCTGAAAATTGCAAAAATTCCTGAAAATTGCAAAAATTCCTGAAAACTGCAAAAATTCCTGAAAATTGCAAAAATGTCTGAAAATTGCAAATATTCCTGAAAATTGCAAAAATTGCAAAAATTCCTGAAAATTGCGAAAATTGCAAAAATTCCTGAAAATTGAGAAAATCTCAAAAATTCCTGAAAATTGCAAAAATTGCAAAAATTCCTGAAAATTGCAAAAATTGCAAAAATTCCTGAAAATTGCGAAAATCGCAAAAATTCCTGAAAATTGCAAAAATTGCAAAAATTCCTGAAAATTGCGAAAATCGCAAAAATCCTGAATATTGCAAATATCGCAATTATTCCTGAAAATTGCAAAAATCGCAAAAATTCCTGAAAATTGCAAAAATCGCAAAAATTCCTGAAAATTGCAAAAATTGCAAAAATTCATGAAAATTGCGAAAATCTCAAAAATTACTGAAAATTGCAAAAATTCCTGAAAATTGCAAAAATCGCAAAATTTCCTGAAAATTGCAAAAATTTCAAAAATTCCTGAAAATTGCGAATATCTCAAAAATTGCGAAAATTCCTGAAAATTGCGGAAATCGCAAAAATTCCTGAAAATTGCAAAAATTGCAAAAATTCCTGAAAATTAAAAAAAATTCTGAAAATTGCAAAAATTCCTGAAAATTGCAAAAATTGCAAAAATTCCTGAAAATTGCGAAAATCGCAAAAATTCCTGAAAATTGCAAAAATTGCAAAAATTCCTGAAAATTGCGAAAATCGCAAAAATTCCTGAAAATTGCAAATATCGCAATTATTCCTGAAAATTGCAAAAATCGCAAAAATTCCTGAAAATTGCAAAAATCGCAAAAATTCCTGAAAATTGCAAAAATTGCAAAAATTCATGAAAATTGCGAAAATCTCAAAAATTACTGAAAATTGCAAAAATTCCTGAAAATTGCAAAAATTCCTGAAAATTGCAAAAATCGCAAAAATTCCTGAAAATTGCAAAAATTTCAAAAATTCCTGAAAATTGCGAATATCTCAAAAATTGCGAAAATTCCTGAAAATTGCGGAAATCGCAAAAATTCCTGAAAATTGCAAAAATTGCAAAAATTCCTGAAAATTAAAAAAATTCTGAAAATTGCAAAAATTTTTGAAAATTGCAAAAATTGCAAAAATTCCTGAAAATTGCGAAAATCGCAAAAATTCCTGAAAATTGCAAAAATTGCAAAAATTCATGAAAATTGCGAAAATCTCAAAAATTCCAGAAAATTGCAAAAATTCCTGAAAATTGCAAAAATTCCTGAAAATTGCAAAAATTGCAAAAATTCCTAAAAATTGCGAAATCTCAAAAATTCCTGAAATTGCAAAAATGTCTGAAAATTGCAAAAATTCCTGAAAATTGCAAAAATTGCAAAAATTCCTGAAAATTGCGAAAAT